GGATTGTTGATTGATTGATTTGTCTGTTTATGGCATATAAACTCCTTATGGGTCATTTAATGCCAAAATTTAATTTTCTTGAGAGTTTGGAAGTAATAAAAATATATCATTCCACTTTCACAATTGGATACATGGTAGGTGATACTCAGCTTTTGTGCATATACATGTTTGAGTGGACATAATTACTAGAGGCAGTGATATGTGTGTTTTATGTTGTAGCTTTGTTGAAGTTATATTTTAGAATATTTAAGAATTTGTATGATATTATATGACTGCATATCATGAAAGTTCTTTTATGTTGGTTGTCTGAACGGATTTGGGTGAAGTTGCTACAATTTGTTAGTATATGTGTACTGTTGGTAATTTATATAAAAATGCATTGCTGGTATTTTTACTATACTAAAAAATGTATGTTTATACTTTCATAGTGTTTTATTTTTGTTTGTGGGGTATCACTATTTGCCCATAGCTGGGACCCTAACGGATGCTACCACCCTGGGTTAGGGTGGATCTGGGAACAACAGCAATTAGGAGGTGGTTACAAGCTCTTTAAAACCGCCAATCTCCTAGTCAGTGACCTTGCTGCCAAATGTAGTTTATCATCATCCCCAGGACTAGATTAGGAAAGATAACAAAAAAGAACACCTTTACTAAGAGCTACAAAGAACAAAAAGAGTCATGATTGCCTATATACTGAAGGGGCACAATACATAGAAGATTTATTCATGCCTGAAATGAGAATATCTTTGCATTTTCAAAAGTTCTACTTACTCTATGTGCCATGTCCATTCTGAATATGGGCAATCATATATCTCCACAACTTCCGATCCCTCATGGCACCTTAGCAGCATTTCTCCAAGACTTTCCACTCCCATTCTGCCATCCACTCACACATGCTTGTCAGGAAGCTAACCTGCTACACTCCCCTACGTCTCTTGCCCTCGATATACCCTGTGAGAGTTAATTTTTCCAAGACCTTCTTCCTCCTGTATCCGAGAAATTTCAACTATCTCTTTCTTATTTGGAGTATAAGTATTTTTTGTTGCCATTTCTTTAAGACTTCCTCATTGCTTATGCACCATGTACATTTGAATTCTCAGCACCCTTCTGTAGAACCACATTTCTGTAGCTGCCAGTTTCCTCTTCATCTGTGGCAGCTTATGGCTGCATCACATTAAATTACCAGTTCCTGTATGATCACCGAAGTTAAGCGACATCAAGATTAATAAACAGGTGACTGCTTCAGAATAGCCGGTGCTCTAAGATTGGGTGTGCAGAATCAATAATGACTCAAAATTTGAAAATGGAGAGTCATCCCAGTTGTGCCCATTATATTCACTTAGAAGCAAATACCCTTGAGAAAGGTATGAATCCACACCTCTTCTCTTCCCCTCCCACCAGATTGAATAGCTATAGATCCCGTAGCCTATTACCATGGTTAGCAAGCAGTCTACCGCAGAAAGAAATGGCAACCTACTGAAGGAAAATCTTCTGCCTAGTCAGTCATGAATTGAAAGAGACATGACCACCCAAGCATGTATCAAGTATGGTACTTAACTGACTGACTATTACTGTCATATAGTAAAAGTGACTCCTTTATTGCCATGGTTTGGATAAGCTGCAGTGTTGGTGGGTTAATTAGTAACACTTTTATCAGTAAATCATTATTATCGCCAAAAAAATTCATACAGTCTAAAAATATCTTCTGGCTATTCAAAACCAACAAAAGGTTGATAAGCTATAAAAAAAAAATGAATCAATCAATCTATCCATCCATTTACTTTTTCCTTCTTACTATTATTCATCTTGTTCTTATTCTTTTTTTTTTTTATCCTTTCTGTTCTTTTCTTTCTTCATTCTTCTTCAACCCTCCAATACTACATTATCTTTTCCTTTTTCTACTTCTCTCTGCCTATTTCTCCTTCTTCTCCCCTCATTCTTGTCTCTTCTCTCATTTTCTTCATCCTTCTTATTCTTTTCTTGCCTTTCCTTCTTTCCCTTCATTTTCATTCTCTGATATTTTTTTTCAATCCTCTAGTTTTGCTTCTTGTACCTTCCTTCTTTTCTCTTCCTATTTCATCATTTTTTTTCCTTCATTCTTGTTTCTTCACAAATTTTCTTCATCCTTCTTATTTTACTAGTCTTTCATTCTTTCTTTTTCATCTCTTGTCCTTTACTTCCTTTCTTGTTATTTCTTCTTCTTATCATTTGCCTCTTTAATTTTCTTCATCCTTCTTATTTTTCTAGTCTTTTCATTCTTTCTTTTCTTCTTATTTCTTTCTTCCTTTCTTTCATTTCCTTCTTATTTCAATTTTAATTTTCTTCATCTTCTTATTTTTCTAGTCTTTCATTCTTTCTTTCTTTCATCTCTTCTTCCTTTTGTCCTTTCCACCTCCTTTCTTGTTATTTCTTCTTCCTTATCATTCATGCCTCTTTAATTTTCTTCATCCTTCTTATTTTTCTAGTCTTTCATTCTTTCTTTCATCTCTCTTCTTCCTCTTGTCCTTTCCACCTCCTTTCTTGTTATTTCTTCTTCCTTATCATTCATGCCTCTTTAATTTTCTTCACCCTTCTTATTTTTCTAGTCTTTCATTCTTTCTTTCATCTCTCTTCTTCCTCTTGTCCTTTCCACCTCCTTTCTTGTTATTTCTTCTTCCTTATCATTCATGCCTCTTTAATTTTCTTCATCCTTCTCATTCTTTTCCTTCTTCTCCAATTTTTCTTCAACCTTCCTGTTCTGCTTCTTGTCCCTCCCTTCTATTCTTACTTCTTGTTCTTCTCTCTCACCATCCTTCCTCCCTGTCATTCTCATCTCTACTTAAACCTTCTTCATCCTTCTTTTCCATTCCTTTTTCTTTTACTCCCCTAATTTTGCTTCTTGTACCTTCTTACTACTTCTTTTCGATCTCCCATTTTCTTCTTCCTCCAAATCATTCTAACCTACTCTTCTTTTTCTTCCTCATCCAATCTTTTTCATCTTCTCCCACTCTGTACAATTCATTTATCACCCTTTCTTTATCTTATTACTTCTCTCTCTTCTTTTCTCACTTCCATATCTCTCCTCATCATTTTTTCATTGTTACCTTTATCTGTCTCTCTTCTTTTAAGTCTTTCACTCCTTCTCCTCCTCCTCCATGTATCGCCTATCATCACCCTCTTTATATTCTACTTCTCTTTCTTTCTCTCTCTCTCTCTCTCTGTATGTGCACCAATCATTTTCCTGTATGTTCTTCACTCTTTTCTTTAATTCTTGTTTCTTCATTCTTTCACTTTTTCCTCCCACTTCTTCTGATTTTCTTTCCTCTTCCTACCACCTCATGTCTTTTCTTTAGGTGCCAACACACAGCTGTGAAAAGAGTCCGCTTACTTCTCTTTTTTTTTTTTCCTTACAATCAGATCAATTATGTTTCCGTCATAATTAACTTTTCTGCAGAACACAGTGAATTCTTAATAAGATGAATCAAGCATTTCTTTTGAATATCAAATTAGTAAAGGGGGGGTGGAGTGAGGCAGACAGAAAAGACGAAGATGGAGGAGGCAAGAAACTAAACCAGTAGCCACAAAAAAAACAAAAAAAGCCCCAGCAAAAATAAGTTTAAATATTGGAAAAAAAAAAAAAAAAAAAAAAAAGAACGTGAGAAATTATTCTGCAAGAAACACCTGGAAACTTTGGCAAAAGGAATTCTTTTTAGAGCTTTTTTTTTGTAGATGTTTTTTTTTCTTTTAGTTTTTTTTCTTTTTCTTTTTCTGCTTTTTGTTAAATATCGTTTGTACTGTTTTACTTCTCTTTCTTTTACATTTCGTTCACACCCTGACTTTCTTATCGAGTTAACACTGCTAAAATTTCCAGAGAATTCTAAAAAGGAGAGAAAAAAAATAAAGTTGTTTGCAGTTATCTATTAACTGAAAAAGAAAACAAAAGAAAAAGTAAACACGACAAAGAGTGGGGGGGTGCTGTGAGGGAAGACAGGAAGTGACAAAGACTGAGAAGAAAAACATGAATAAAAAAAAAAAAAAGATGAAGTGGCTAAGTGAGAATGGTAGAAGAAACCTTAAGAAAGAAGCAAGACACTAGAGAGAAGCTAAGTGTTGCTAGTAAAGAGAAAAATGAGTGAGTTACAAAAAGATCATAAAGATGAGAGAAAAGACAGAGAGAGGAGTCGGAAAAAGGAGAGAGAGAGGTGTAAGAGGAGGGAACAAAGCAGGAGGAAGAGAAGAGAAAAATGTAGGGAAAGTAAGATGGAATGAAGAGAAGGAAACATCAAAGAGACTGCAAAAAAAAGAGCAAGAATGTTGTGAAGATGAAGATGTTAAAAAGACATGGAAAAATCAGAGAGAGAAAGAGAGAGAGAGCAATAGACAGAAAAGATGAAAAGCAAGAGGAAATAGAAAGGAGCAATAAAGAATGAAAAGAGAAAAAGGAGAGAGCATAAAAGAAAGGAAAAAAAGAAACAGACTCAGATTTATAAAATAAAAGAAAGTTGAAATTTGAATATCAAGGTAGAAGGAACAAAGATGGAAGACATGAAATTGGTGGACAAACTTATCTGAAATTAAAGTTGGCATTTAACTGTCAAAATCTATTTTTAATTTATGTCTCGGACTGTTTTGCTGTAGCAGTGAACAACACAAACCCAAAATCTTTCTTTTACCATTTTGTTTTTTTCTCCATTTTTCTTCACACTGTCCATTTCAATAATTTCATTGAAAGAATCAAGATTGAATGCATATTATTAACCAACAAGAATGGAAGGAAATGAGCAGGAATCATGTACAGTTTATGATAAATTTGTAGACACTTTCAATGTTTGCAAAACTAGATTTATTTAAGGTCTTTTCTATGGAAGAAATCTGTCAAGACTAAATTTATAAACTATATTTACCCAATGAACCAGAAAACAGATTTAAATTGAACGAAAGCAAAATAATTTACTGGACCCATGAAAATTCCATGAGTGTTGACAACTAACATATCATATTTAGAATAATTTTTAACGCATTTAAAATATTTTTAAATAAGAAAGAAAGAGAGGAGAGATATTGATAAAGAAAGGGGGAGATGATACAAAGAAATGGGGTGGGGAGAAAGAGAGGAATGATACAAAAGGGAAAAAGAGCAATGATAGGAGGAAACAAGGGGAGCAATACAAACAAATAAAGGGAAAGGGTGATACAAAGAAACAAAAGGAAGGGGTGATACAAAGACACAAAAGGAAGGGGGTGATACAAAGACACAAAAGGAAGGGGGTGATACAAAGACACAAAAGGAAGGGGGTGATACAAAGAAACAAAAGGAAAGCAGTGATACAAAGACACAAAAGGAAGGAATGATACAAAGAAACAAAAGGAAGGGGGTGATACAAAGAAACAAAGGGAAGGAATGATACAAAGAAACAAAAGGAAGGGGGTGATACAAAGAAACAAATGGGAAGGGGTGATACAAAGAAACAAAGGGGAAGGGGTGTTACATGGAAACAAAGTGAAGGGGTGTTACATGGAAACAAAGGGGTGATACAAAGAGAGGTTGTGATATGAGGAAAGAAGTGGGGGTGATACAAAGAAACAAAAGGAAGGGTAACACAAAGGAACAAAGGGAAGGGGTGATACAAAGAAACAAAGGGAAGAGGTGATACAAAGAAACAAAGGGAAGAGGTGACACAAAGAAACAAAGGGAAGGGGTGATACAAAGAAACAAAAGGAAGGAGTGATATAAAGAAACAAAAGGAAGGGATACAAAGAAACAAAGGGAAGGAGTGATACAAAGAAACAAAGGGAAGGGGTGATACAAAGAAACAAAAAGGGTGATACAAAAAAACAAAGGGAAGGGGTGATACAAAGAAACAAAGGGAAGGGGTGATACAAAGAAACAAAGGGAAGGAGTGATACAAAGAAACAAAGGGAAGGGGTGATACAAAGAAACAAAGGGAAGGGGTGATACAAAGAAAGAGAGGTTGTGATATGAGGACAGAAAGGGAGGGAATGATACAAAGAAACATAGAAAAGATATTAAGGAACCACAAAGATAAAGATAGATCATAAATGAGAAAGTATTATTGAAGAAAACAAAAGCAAGAAGCTGTGGAGAATCATAATCAGTCAGATCTTAAATGACATAGCACATTAAATTACAGATTAGTATATTGTGTAAGCAAGAGTGAAACTGTCAATAACCAAAGGGGGAAGAAAAAAACTTTATGTATTTCTAAAGAACATAACCAGGGTTTCTAACCTCTGTGACAATATAAGCTTATATTCCTTTTAACCCATTTTCCATTTCACCCCCAAACATTTTGTCTTGATGGAGAGAGAGAATTGAGGTGGTGTAGGTGAACTTAGTCCAAGGAATACTAACCTGGGAATATGTGAATGAATTTCACCAAAATATGAATTTTCATAAGATTCTATAAGCAATATTGTTTATTCATATGAACTGTGCCCAAAAGAATTCAAATATCATTTCATACAAAATAATGCAAATTCATTTTATATATATATATATATATATATATATATATATTTGATTGATAGATAGATAGATATCAACCCAATTAAAGGTTTCTTTATATAAGTTCAAAACTGTTTTAAAAGTTTGCACAAACCATTGTAATCACTAGCCTCAAACTGTCACAACTGAACCTTCAACATGAATCTCAACTGTTGCATCGTATTTTGGGACATGACCTTAGAATAATTACAAAGAAAAAACTTAACCCGCAACAAGATACCTAACTGTTGAGAATTGCACCACCGTGCATCGAGACTGGAACTTAGAACTAACGCAAATCGTACCATTATAAATCCTACCAAGTGAGCATGCTTACCACTCTAGAACTGGAGAATTTTGTCTTGTATTCAGCTTAAATGGCAAAATGACATTGCCAAATACTACTTCTTTAATCATTTCATCCCAAGCAAAGCAACAGAACCACTAAGACACAGGAGGGTTACTCAGATTTGGTTTGGTTTGTTGTTTTATGACATCAACATCAATGGGTTATTTAATGCTGACAAGATTTTTATTGCTGGTAATATTTATTTTTAAATGTATTGCTGGTAATATTTTTTTTTTCAAAAATGTATTTCTGGTAATAATTTTTCTTCAAAGATTTATTGCTGTTAATAATTTGTCTACAAAGTATTTCTGGTATTAAAACCTATTTTTACACTTTCGTAGTGTTTTGACCCCAGTTTGGGAGTTAACTATTTACCCATACCTGGGACCCTAACAGGTGCTACTACCCCAGGTCAGAGTGGACCTAGGAACACCAGCAATTAAGAGATGGTTCCACACTCCTCAAAACCTCCTGATCAGAGGCCTTGCTGTTGGACATAGTCTTACACAGGACGCGGATGTAGTTTATCATACCCAGGATGGGAAAGAACATAAGAAAAAAAAAAAGAGCCTTATTAAGGAGTGAGAACCATAAAAAAGACAGGAATTAAGAAGACAGAAGGTAACAATTGACATTGCATTTATATTTGAAGATCAAACTTGTCTGGGAAGCAAATAAACAGAGGAGAGTTCCACAAGCAAGAAGTGTGAGAGAAGAAACTGCTAAGATAGAACATACGGTTATATCTAACCATTTCAACTGTAAAATGATGAGATCTTGCTGCCAATCTAAAAATCTTCTTTTATATGCTGTGTCCCTTCAGAATAAAAGCGATGATGGTCCTCCCAACCTTCCTGTCCTTTGTAACTTTTAATAAGTTTTGTAATTTTGATATTTCTCTCAAACCCTGTTCAGCCATCAATTTACTCAAGCTCAAGTGTTGCACTTTCCATTCTCTGCTAAAACACATCCCAGATATTTAAATTTTTGTTCTTGTTTGATTTTGGCATCCCTGATTTAGTACTGCACTTAAATCCACGGAGTGTCAGATATTTCCACTGCATGTGAATCGTGGCCATTTTTCCTTGCTATAAAGACTACAGTGTTTGGATTCCTAAGTGAAAAAAATTATTTTCTAATTTTATCAAGAGTTAAGAATTACTAGTTGCCATTTGCTCTTATGGAAAGTCAATGGACATTAGCCAAAATATTGTTACAAAAAAAAAGATTGAGATGCTCAGAGGTAGAATCAACAAATCCAGGGCCAAACTTGTAGTTATTAGCTGAATTTTGATTTGAAATTTTCACTATAATGTTCAATGTATATGATTAATATTCACTACTGAATTAAGTGCATTGACAAGAAAGGAGATTATGTTGAAAAATTGTGTGAAATAAATACTTTTTGAATCATTAGGATAGAGACTTGATTTACTTATACCAGTGACTCTCAACTTAGGCAGTACCACACCACCTCACACACACACCCATTAAGATGCTATGAATTCTCTCGAGGTAGCAATAACTGTTCAGGAGAGCTTACAGCTGTAACCTTAACAAGGCAGTAAGATGTTAACCCTTTTAACCCTTTTATTGGGATAAGCCACCACATTTTCTATCCCAATTTGTTTATCTTTTTGCCCATATATTTACATTTACATTTTAAACATTCAGCATCAACTGCAATATGTGTATGGGGCAAAAATCTGCAGCCTAGAGTCCAGCAGATTCTAATGTCTTACCCAATGGCAGCAGCATACTTTTCGTAATTGTCACTGCTGTAATTCAACAAAATGTAAATACAAGACATTAACTCCATTTACCAGTGCCATTATAACGATCCAAGTAATTAGAATAAAACATAATAATGATAATTAGGAGACAAATACAAATGCATCTGACCATGCTAAATAAATTTTAAAAAGCAGTTTTAGCCTATTTTTACAGACACATTCACTAGAAAGATGCTTTATTGATTAATTTGAATTTTATGGCTTATCAACCTTTTACATGTTATTTAACCTTTACCAATAATTTCTTTCTAGAATTGTTCTCCATGCCACTGCATTTCTTTTTTGAGGGTGCAAAAACATGAACACCTACTGTTTTAAAATTATCTTTCATTGTATTGTGTGTATAGATTTTATTTTTTTGTATACTAATAAAAGAATGGATGAGTAGTAATTTGATGTAATGCATTAAGTTTTGTATGTATGTTTTGATGTTGAAAATAAAAAAATTGAAACGCAAAATAAAAAACAAATACATTAAAAAAAGACTCCTGAATAAAAGCTTCGTTTGATATCGACACAGCCATTTTTGTTTATGAAAAAAACACAAAAAAAATTAACATAGGTTTAATCAGTGTTACACCTTGTGCAGTGTAGAAGAATTCAAAATGGCATTGGAAAATGGAAGTTTAACCTTGTTTCAAAGCAGTAGTAGGCGATTTCCAGCTTAAAATACCAGAAATAACAGGTGACAAGTGTTTATTTATAGAAACTGTCTCAAGGCAACAGAATATGCCTAGAGTTGCAAAGGAAGAGAATTCTATGGCGACAATTGCCATCTGCAGTATGGTAAAGGTTAAAGCCAGAAAATATTTTAGATTGTAAGAATTTTTTAGTGATAATAATGATTAACTGATACAACTCCTACTTAATTAACCCATAGTTGGGGGAGAAGATGTAAATAAATACCTTTCCTAAGGGCATATACAATATAATGAACCCTACTGTTGAACCTGGCAGTCTGCCTAGAAGTATGTGGAAAATACCAGGGATGGAAACAAGGAAGTTTTAAGGAAAATGAGAACTAAAAGAACAATTGTGCCCAGAAACAGAAAAAAGTTTAATTTTCTAGGATGCATAATGAGGACAGAGGGCTTGGAGAATCTGAAACTCACAGGACATACTGAGGGGTAGAGGGAAACAAAAAGTAACCTACCTAACAAGCATTTGTAAATGAATGCCAGAACAGAAATTGGGAGGAACAGTAAGGGAACAAACATTGCTAAGATCTATAAAGGATAGGAAGTTGTGGAGAACTATGATCACCCACATGCTGATGGGACACAGCACATAAAAAGAAAATGCTTAATCTTTTCACTGAAGATTTGGGAGAGAGTTTTTTTGTGAAAAAGGGATCTTATATGGCTGCAATTATTTCAAAAACAATGAAATTTGCGACGTACATAAGTCAGTAAGGACATGTACATGGGAACAGAAAAGGACAGTTGAATTTTCTGAGACACATAAAGAGGGAAAAGAGCTTGAAGGATCTGACACTCACAGGGGATGAGGGGCAGAGGGAAACAGCAAGCTATCTAATAGGCATATGTAAATAAATGGCAGAACATGGACTGGTAATGATAGTAAAGGGACAAATATTGCTTAGAGCTACAGAGGAAATTATTTACAGCCCTGATCATGATCTCTTGAAAAAAATCTCCAAAATAAATATTCCAAATCGCTTAATGTAAATGTTGTAACCTATAAAAGGTTACTGAATGAGGAATAATCAAAATGAAGGTTGGAAATAAAATGGTAATCTTTATAAAATCAACAAAATACAATACTCGCCAGCAGCGTGAAGTAGGTAAACAACTGCTAGTGGTGAACTACTTAAGACAGCATATTACTCCCACTTACTATAGTGTCCAATGTATTTATGAGGATTAAAACATACCCATTAGTGATCATAGGTATAGTATATTATACTTGACTATAATGCAAGTTTTTATGCAAAAAATAGGGGTTCAAACTATAGACAGGTAATTTTTTGAAGACATTAAAAATCAAGTACTTTTGATGATCAGTTGCACTAAACACAGGTAAATTTTGATGATATCTACATCTTTGTTATCAGATATTTTATGGATAAGTTTTTCTTTCTTTCCATTTTGGGCTAGCTTTATTCAAAAAAGAATGAAGACCATTTATTTATGATAAAATATGTTCAGGATGATGCCCAGGATTACAATATTTGACTATGAGAGGCCTACTAGTATTGCTCAGAATCTGGGATCACATTATACACAGGCTAAATGAAAAAAGAAGTTTTTCTCCAGAAAATAGATATCATGCATTATATAAGGTATTGTTGATTTTAAGTGACATATATAATGGATGAGGTTTTTCTCTTCATGTAGTGACAAAAGGCAA